CACATGTGGGTCTTGTTTATTTCACTTATGATTATGGTCTCTAGTTACATCCATTTACCTACAAAAGACTCAACTTTATCCTTCTTTATGGGTGAGTAGTACTCCATTGTATAAAAAGACCACATCTTTTTTATCCATTCCTCGGTTGAGGGACATTTGCCTTGTTTCCAAGACCTAGCTATTACAAATTGCAGGAGTGCACATATATCACTGTGGTGTGATGTTTTTAATTCTTCTGGGAAGATACCCAGAGGGAGAATAGCTATGTCAAATGGGACCTCCAATCCTAGTTGGTCTTCATTCAGATTTTATTGGTACATTTTAGGTATACACAGTGACCACATTCCATGTATCATAGAGAATTTACACCTGTGTAAGATAAAACTTGATTCTTTTTTTTCCCCAGGCCCCTATCTCTAAAGTTTCCAGCACATCAAGTTGTTGGGTTAGTAGTGGGTACACTGGTTTGTCTGCTGCTTTACTTGCTGTGTGTTAGTCAGCGACCACCAAGCATTTGTGCGGATCTGCCTGCTTAGATTCTGGGCTGAGCGTTACCGGAGCAGAGCTGTGGGGCGGTGGTTTGTGTTTGGCAGTCTGTTCTCGTCTGTCGCTCCTCCAGTGGTCAGCCCTCCCTGCCCCGTGCCCTTACCGGGAGTTGAACCAGGGAGCATTCAGCTACATCTGCAGCCCTTTTTGCTTTTTTTAAAATTTTGAGACGGGATCTCCCTAGGTTGCCCAGGCTGGTCTTGAATTTACAGTCCTCCTTTTGAGACTCCTGAATTCCTGGGATTACGGGTGTGTGCCAGAGCGCCCAGCATAACTTTCTTCGTCAACTCTCAGTGTGGAGGGCAGTGCCTTTCATCCGGGAACAACCAGGGGACAGTACTTGTCACTGTCTGGAGACATCTGTGGTCCTTGCCATCAGGAGGAGGAAGTGACGCTGGTCACTGGGGAGGAGAGCGCCGAGGATGTTGCTAAAAACTCTTCAATGCACTGAGCAGAATTACCTGACTCCAGATGTCAGTAGTGCAGAAGCTGAGAAACTGCTTTGGAGAAAAATCGTATTATCCCATAATATCATGAACATTTTTTTTTATCATGAACATTTTTTGCAGCACAGAAAAAAATCAATGTTTTTAATGTCAGTTGAAGTGACACTTGAAACCTGAAAACAATCTCATTTTGTGATTCATTGGCACATTTATTTTTTTGTTTTTGTTTTGTCTTTTTGAGACAGGTCTCCTTGTGCAGTTCAGGCTGGCCTTGAGCTCACTTTGTAGCCCAGGCTGGTCTTCAACTCACAACGATCCTCCTGCCTCAGCCTCCTGAGTGCTGGGATCACAGGCGTGCAACACCACACCCGGCAGGCCTACTACTCTGATTCCTGTTTGAACCGCAATGCTCTCAGAATAGGGAACTGTTGACGATTCTTCCTAAATGGCTACCTTTCTCTCTAGTTGACTCAGAAGCTACTAAACTTTGAAAGTTCAAATAGCACTGGCCCTGCAGTAAGTCTTCAGATCTTTCATGCACACATATGTCCCATTCTAAATCCCTCACCAAAGCCTGGACAAGTCAGATCTTGTGTATTACTTGCCAATGGAGATCAGCAACTGCATTCAAACCCACTCGATGGGTAAGAAAAGAAAAAAGACCAAAAAAAGCCAGGCATGGTGGCACAGGCCTGTAATTCCAGCACTGGGGAGGCGGGAGGCTGAGGCAGGAGGACTACTGAGAGTCCAAGGCCAGCCTGAACTCTCAGCCTCAGGACCCCATCTCAAAACAAAAACAAAAAAGAAAAAAACACCTTCACCAATGCTGCATCACAAGTCACTGTTTGCAAGCACATGCTTCCTAAACCAAACCATCCTCAGCAGATTTTGTTCTGTTTTGCTCTGTAAACTGCTTTTTCAGTTACATAAAACTACAAATTGCATTCTGAAGGCTTTGCAAGCCTGAATCTGCTTGCTTCCTGAAAATTTATGAGGACACAGAATGAAATGTGGTTAACTCTCCTTGGAGCTTTCTGTATCACACCTGCCCAAGCGAAAGTTTCCGTGTGTTTTGGGCTTGCTGATCCTGTCTTTTAAAGAAGTCATCACATAAGAAGTAACTGTATGCTGGGGCCTTGTGTGGCTAAAGGATGGACCTCTGAAAGCATTTTACCTAACTGCTGTGTTTTCTGTCTTACTGCAACACTGCCCATTTGCAGAAAGACTTCTTGATTTGGTTTCTGTTTGTAAACCACCGGTCAACCCAAAATACCACCTTAAAAGTTGACAGAGGGAGATTTAGGGATGCAGCTCCGCCACAAAGTGCTTTGCCTAATTTGCTTGGGCCCTGGGTTTGATTGCCAGCAAAGAAAAAGAGAAATACTGGCAGGAAGAAACATTTCGGTGGGATGGGAGAATTACGAAACTTAATTGTGGTCATGGATGGAACAACTGTCCACGTTCATTCAGCGGCACCTGACTGCACCCATACAGTAGGTGAGCTTTCTGATCTTCACCTTATACTGCAACAAAGCTGTTTTTAAATGTGCCGGTGAGCCAGGCTTGGTGGCTGAGGCAGGAGGATCATTGAGAGTTTGACACCAGCCTGGGCTCAAAGGGAGCTCAAGGCCAGCCTGAACTGCACAGCAAGGCTCTGTCTAAAAAGACAAAAAATAAAACAGAGTAATAGGCCTGCTGGCTGCCTGCAGGGTACAAGGAGCACCAGGAACTCTTCTCCCAGTCCCTCTGGGGCACCCTCCGGGGCACCCTCCGCAGCCACTCAGCTGCCTTTTTCCAGATACCCCCTTGGGGAAGTGGAGTCAGGAAGCCTCCACACTGACTTAGTTTGAAGATTAAATAGTTGTGCATATGTGAAAGTTCTTGAAACATGAGCATTCCACAAACATCTATTTTATTTTTAGATATGTCCCATGGGTGCCAGGTTTAGAGGCGCATGCTTACAATCTCGGCACCCAGTGGCCTGAGGCAGGATGATCGTGAATTTGAGGCCAGTGCAGGCTGCATAGGGCGACACCAGCACAAACAAACAAGCAAGCAAGCAAACAAATAGATGTTCTCTTGATACCAGCAGTTTACGTTTTACGAAGGTGTTATGTCTCATATTATTTGATTTCTTTTCCCCAGAATAAGCAGAAAGTAAGACAGGTCATTTTACTACCGTGAACTGACACCCGAAGAGGTTGGTTAAGTGACTTCCTGAAGCTCAGGGGTTGCTCAGGAAGATACCGGCCCACCACAGTCCCTTTCCAAAGCTTTCTCCTGGAGTGCAGGAGGTTGCTGATCTTCCAAATGGCTTCCGGAGAGGATTTCATTTGTTTCAGGCGGTCGGCTCTCATTTGACGTTTATTGTACTCCTATTAAAAGGCGTGTTTAAAGGCTTTCCTAGCCCATTGATACTTGCCAGCCATAAAGTAAACAACATAAATGTTTTTATTACGGGCCCAGAGCAGACATATGTGTGCCCTGATTGTTTTAAAGCTGGCAATCTAATAGAATTCCCAGTTGAGGGAAGATGAAAGAGAGAACCTACTCAGGCTTGTAGAAGGTGTCAGATGTGTCAGGAAGGTACGAAATCAACACCCCGGAACGTTAAAGGCCCCTAAACAGCTCTCTATAAAAAGTGTACACATAGTAATTCGGCACAGCCAACAGGAAAATCATTTAAAAATATTTTATTATACATATAATAAAGTGCTCAGATCATAGGTTAACAGCTCAAGGAATTTTTACATTTGTGTACCTCTGTGTAGCTGCCATGCAGACAGAAGTATAGGACATTTTCCACCCCTGGTAACCCATACTCTATTCCAGAGGTTAGTTTTGTCTGGTCTGAAGCCTCACCTAGATAGGATCGTATGGTGTGAACACACCATGCCTGGTTTCTGCCACTCAATATTGTCTGTAGATGCGCGCGTGTTGTGTGTAGCGGTAGTTTCTAAAGTCACGTTTTCAAATGGACAAGGGAAGAATTTCCAGCTATTTTGAGGATGCAGTCAGCAGATGCGGACCCCTTCGTAGAATGAATTTAATTAGGCCTTTGAAAGAGTGGGGGAGAAGGGTGGGAATTTGCTATTCAGGTTTATAGAAAGAATGCCCGTGGCAGGAATAGGGACAGGAGTCAGGATAGGTCAAGTGGCTGTTTTTTGTTCTTTTTGAGTCAGAGTCTCTCACTGCAGTCTATGGTGGACTTGAGCTTGTTACAGAGCCTAGGCTGGCCTCGAACTTGCAAACCTGCCTTAGCCTCACACCGCCACACTGAGCTCTTTGCCAAACAGGTGATGGCAAGGAATGGATTGGCCGAGGAGCAGAAGGAGGGGGGCGGGGCCGTGACGTCACAGAGGGCGGAACGTTCATCCCGCAGTTCCTTCTCCCTGGAGTCTGCGGCGGTGAGCCCTAAATGGTAAATACCACACGAAGTCCAGCTGTCACGTTCCCTGGTTCTGGAAAATGACTGGAATTATCACACATGGTATCGTACAGACTCTGTAGCATGTGTGTGCTGGGAATGGTGGCAGTGTCCTAAAAGCTTGGCCAGAACCCAGCCCACAGAGCTCCAGCGGGCAGTGCCACCGCTGATGGTGGCCTAGGGGACGGAGGTGTTGGGAGGAGAACTCGTCCCCGTAGTCTACCTGCCCCCAGGACTGGCATTGAGGAACATGGATCGTCCTCTCAGTTCTAACCATCTTTTCAGGACAGCCAGGTCCCTGACAGCTGGTCATGGATCTATAAGATGAGCTTAGTGTTGAATGGAGCCAGGTGGGATCGTCTACCTATAAAGTAATCTCCTCTGCAGTGGACGTGTTTAATCAACCTGTTCTCCAACACCGGCTCCTCAGAGCCCCGCCCCCTCCTCTCTCCTCACCCCTCAAAGCAGCAGCCCGCCCATCACCTGTAATAGTTTCCTTTTTATTTTTCCTTTACTGTACTTAGCAATACTTGGAAATCGTATATATATTTAACTGTATTTATTTTTTTGGTATCGGGAATCGAACTCAGGACCTTACAGCTGTGCTGCTGAGCTATAGCCCCGGTTTTTCTTTTTTTTTTTTGGGTACTGGGAATTGAACTCAGGACCTTGCGCTTGCCAGGCAGGTGCTTGTGAGCTATATGCTCGGATTAACTTTATTTTTTTATCTGTACGTGTTTGTCATACATACTGATTACATTCATTGTAGGGAACTTGTACCTGTATATAATATATCTTGATTCTTTTTCCCCGTTCCTCTCCCCTCCCTTCAGCGCTTCATTTTCTTATTTACAAAAGCTTTGTTTGCGTTTTATTCCTTTTCTTCTTTCCCTCTCTTTTTTTGGAAGTCACATATTTTTAGAATAATTTCTTGTCTACCTCCCTGTGACGATAGAAGTCCTATGAAGGAGGGGCTCTAGTTCACTTCCTATCCCAGGTGAACTGCACCTTGCACATAGTAGCTGGTACATCCTTTGTGGAATAAAAGGGTAATTTTATATTCAGAGGCTCTGTGAGGTTAGAGAAAGGAAGTCTTGTCTTCCCAGGACTGGGGATTGAACCTAGTGATGCTCTACCCCTGAGCTACATCCCCGGCCCTTTTCATAGTGTGTCGTGGCCTCGCTGAGTTGCCGGGACGGGCTTGCCTTGCAGTCCTGCCTCAGCCTCCTGAGTATCTGAGACCACAGACCTAGCTCCGAAATCGTGCTTTGAAGGTGAAGCAGCTGGTGCTCAGACAGGCGTGTGCTTTAAAGCTTGAGCTGTAACACCGTTTTTTTTTTTTTTTTTTGTTACTGTGTGCAATTCCTTTTGGCTCATGGCTGATCCGATGACTAGCATCACGTGTTGGATTGTTGGACTTTTGCTACAAGACCAAGCAAAGAGAAGTTAAGTCTGTGTTTTAATTCTTTGATTGAATGATGTGAACTTTTTCAGCCACGATCTGCCTCCCTCTTCTGTAGATGAGAATTAAATTTTCACGAAGCTGGCATGAATGTGGTGAGACCAGTAAGTTAAAACCTATTAAGAGAGAAAAAGGTCTTGCCCTGTATTCTAAAAGTATGTATTATATTAGTGAAATAGAAAAAATAACCCAGTTGTATATAAAGGCATGTTTTATAATGTTCTTCTTTTGCTGGCTATTTTATTTGTTTTTTTTTTTTTGTTTTTGGTTTTTCTCCGGTACCGGGAATTGAACTCACAACGTTGTGCTTGCTAGGCAGGCGCTGTGCCGCTGAGCTAAATCCCCAGCCCCTTGCTGGCTATTTTAAAGTCTACAGTAGACCGATTGGTTCTTCTGATTGGGCTTATTTTTTTAATCAAAAGAGGAATACATTTATTTTGTTTGTTTATCTATTTATTTTCTTTTTGAGACAAGGTCTCGCTATGCAGTTCAGGCTGGCCTTGAGCTCACTTTGTAGCCCAGGCACGTCTTGAATTCCAAACAAAATCCTCCTGCCTCAGCCTCCCAAGTTCTGGGATTACAGGTGTGTGCCACCATGCCCAGCTTATTTTTTATTTATTTATTGGAACACATTTATTTTGGAAAACAGTGTGAATACTGTCTCTAATGATCCATTTGGGATGACCCAGCACCAGCGCTCAGGAGGAGGCCTAGAGTAATCTCTTCAGTGACCTCAGGGCTGGATGTGTGGTGCTGTGGCTACTAAATTCCACTGTGCCCTAACCAGCCCCTGTTCACCGCATGCAGCTGTGGCTTGCGTGGTATTGGCACGTAGGAGATTCCTTAGGTACAGGGACAAGTGACTGACGGTGGCAGTGGTAATTTGCATCAGCTCTAACAAGCTGGTGTTGAAACGGGGTGGCACAATGCCAAGGAAGCCAAGGTTAGCAGACTTGGAAATAACGAAGTGAGTCATGTAACCCAGGAGTTGCACGTACCCACAGGACTGTCTGAGTCACCTCTCCTCCGAGGGAGCACGTAAATATGGGGTAGGTGAGGTGCAGAACCTGCTGCGTGTGCCAGAGGAAGCAGAAACCACAGTGACCTCCCTGTCCTGCTGGGGAGACAGATACAGAGGACAAGAAAAATCGAGTAACCAGGCGTAAAGTGCAGGCAGAGCAGAACCAGCGGGAGCTGGGGCCAGGTGGAGTGCGGAGAGTGAAACCAAGCGGCGAAGCAAAGCGGAAGGGAGCAAGGCCGCCGCAGTGGCGGGGAGCGCGGCCTGCGCTGGAGTCCTGCAGCGCTTTCCGGCTCTGTGACCAAGGCGGGGTTCTGGGTCGTTTTCGAGCCTCAGGCTTCAGAATTAAATCTGAGCTAGTAATGAGCCGACATTTTTCTCTTCATTCGGTAAATGACGCCAGGCGTTGATCTGGACACTTGGGATGTGGGGACAGGTGCGGCCTGCTCTTGCAGAGCTGGCTTTCTTGTAGCAGAAGCAGACAGTAAGCCAGGAAAGAGCAGAATGTGGCAAGTGGTACCCAGAGAATAGAGACGGAATTAAATGGGGGTGCTCGGGGGATTCCTTCAGATCGTGCAGAAGGTCTCTGTGGGGGCCCCAGGCCTGAGTGACAAGGTGGAGCGAAGGGCGAGGGTGCCAGGTGGGGGCCACGAAGACTCGGGCCAGAAGTGTCTCGACGTGTCCAAGAGCTGGCGGAGACCAGCGCGGCAGGGTGAGGGGGGCAGAGGGGCCAGTGTAGGAGTTCAACTGAAGGAGGCTGAGGGGCCCGGGGTGCTAACATTTGCTTTTCCCACCGTGACATGTTCAGATCTTTGGTTTTGACAAATATATGGCAAACCACGGACCACTTCTGTTGCCTGGGAGAATTCCCTCCTGCTTCTTGCCTTGTAGATTTCTCTCCGTAAGAATCAACTGCTGAGGAATATTACGCGGCTGTAAAGAATGACACATTTGAAACGTTCATAGGAAAATGGGTGAAATAAACCAGACGCACAAGCTTAAATACCATAGGGGTTCTCTCATTTGAGTGAAGCAAAGCACAAAGAAAATGACAAGAGGATGGATAGGAAGGGACAGGGGCTCGCTATGCAGTTCAGGCAGGACTTGAGCTCACTTTGTAGCCCACGCTGGTCTCAAACTCACAAGATCCTCCTGCCTCAGCCTCCTGAGTGCTGGGATTATTGGTGTGCACCACCATGCCCGGCTCAAGCTTTCTTGGAAATGTTGTTAGGTTTGTCTGTTAATAGTCAATGAGATTATTGTATTAGGCAATGAGATTATTGTAGCAACTTGGTGTAGAATCTGGAATATTCTGAGTGTTCAATAAATGTTAGCTACTATCACGGTGAAACGCTGTGCTAAATAATAATTATTGGTCCTACAAAAGAAACTGGTAAATTGGAGAAAAAGGGAAATGGGTAGAGAAACTGGGAAATCGGGCCTACGGGACTGGGAAAAATTAGTTTAAGAAGGTTTTAAATTTCAGTTAGAGAAAGTGGAAGAGAATCCATTTGATAAGAGTCTTTGCACCTTAGGAGGAAGCATAAGATATTTCAGGAGTGCAGAGAGGACCTGTAGGTGTGGGTCTTGGCTCCTAGCTCTTCCTGGCTGGGTGAGCTCAGGCAGGCCACACCCCTTCTCAGAGCATTGAGTTACTCTCCCTGCAGGGCTGTGTGTGTGGGGGGAGATAAAGTGATTTAGACTTGAAAAGACTCAAAACACAGCGGTTCCACATGGTTTAAAGGAGCTTTTGAGTACTGTGTGAGCGGGTGGAGGGCTGGGGATGGGAATGTGCTGTGAGAGGGAGGGAGTGTTCTTCTAACTGGCTGCCGGGCCTCATCGCTGGCCCTGGCAGTGAGGGCGGAGAAGGTATAAATCGGAGACACTTTGAGGGAAGAACGGGATCACTTTGGGCGAGGCACTGCATGCAGCTGTTTTGAGCTTCAGCAGCTGGGAGAAGTGTCATGGGAGTGCAGCATCAGGGCAGTGGGAGCGGGGTGGGGAGGGCTTGAGCGCCAGCGTTGGCGTTGGCGTTGGCGTAGTACTGACTGTCAGAGATGCCCGTGGAGGCCGGTGGGAACGTGGGCCGGAAGTGAGTGGGGTTTTGCGGGTTGGGCTGGTTATGTGGATTTCGGAGTCACTGGCCCAGGTGATGGCTGACACCAGGAGAACGTGAGCTGTCCCTGGAAGCAACATGTGAGCCACTGTTTTGCTCATCCTAGTTGACTTGGTGCCAGAGCTACAGGCTGAAGAGCGGAATGCTGTGGTCAGCTGGGCGTCTGGGCTGCCCTTGGCCAGCAAAGCAGTGCGTAGGTCCTTTCCCTGTGTACAACCAGGAGTTGACTGCTTTGGCATCTTCACATATAAAGTCTGAGAAGGGGTGGCGGGGCGGGAGAGGGCCCTGGTGTCACTCAGGACATCCTGAGGGCCCCCCCAGGGGTGGTGCTTTCTTGGCTTTGATCCTGGAGAGGTGACTCAGGTGTAATGAAGGGTCTGGCCCCCTCCCGGGGCCATTAGGTACTTGAGGTGCGCGGGGTTCTGGGCCTCTGCCGGACTTAATTAGGAGAGTCTCCTTTTCATCTC